CATGTAAGGATCAATACATGCATTTCATTACTCACAATCAATCATGCTTATACCTACGAATTATCAGCTCACACAATCTACTTTTAAATGCAACCACTGTGTCCTCGCACTAAAGAAGTCCCTCGCTCATAATGGTAGGGAATAAGTACTACGCTCACGCTCTTAATGAACTTCTAACACTAACAACAAACTACCATAGGCTTTCCCTTGATTTCTATGCTTTATATTTCAAACACCCGGAATAGGATCACTGTAGGACTTTATTGGCTTGTAACATAGGCTCGGGGCTAGGGAATGGATATTTGGTTTCGTGAGTGACTAATCCCTTGGTTTTCCAAAGTTTCATTTTCACATACTCTTTTCTGAGTGATTCCCTCTTTTTGTTTAATTCAACCCGACCTAGTAGCTATTATTTTCTTTTTCTTCTTTTTTTCTTGTTTTTCTGTTCTTTTCTCTCTTTTTTTTATATGCAATTTTGATATGCACTTAGCTCACTGGTTTAACCTTCTTTTCCCCTTTTTCTTTCTGTTCGGATTGCAATCACCCTCAACTTAGTCTTTTGGCCTGAGTTGTGATATCGTACCTGCGGAGAACCAAGGATATGATATATGTTGGGTAAGAACAAAGACTAATTTAAGGCTCAAATTGGTTCAAGTGATAAGCTTTTCATTTGGTTCTTTTATTTTTGGCTTTTCACTGGTTTAACAAAAATGGCCTACTGATCCTTTCCTATCCGGTTATTCTCAGATTCAAGCAAGACTACTTAGGCAAGTTCTAGTTTCTGCTCCTAGTGTTAGACTTCAATCAAAACTTACATACACACTGCACATGATTGCATTTTTTTTCAGTTTCTTAGTTCACCAATTATTTGGTCAGATTAGCCATGTTCAACATATCAATATCTAAGATGTCATCTAAAGATCCTAACAGTCAAACTCAGATTCAGGTCCTCAATTTTCACAGATTAGCTGCTGCACAGCTCAACACACAAAACACCCAAAACAATAATACACAGAGACAACCTCTATTTTTCTAACAACTATGGTAGGTTGCTCACCACCTCCTCTCCAAATAAAAAGGACTTTTCCCTCAAAGTCGATATAGAATAATAAAACATACAGGCTATGAGGAGGGGTCATACCTACAACGCTCTAGGCGCCCGTCGTCGGATCAACATTGACACCCTTATCAATGGGTACACTCTCAGAACTCGGGACCTGATCAGTTTGGTCCTCACTAGTCGGAGCAGGTGCTCCACTACCAGAAGCTCCAACTAAGGCTGCATCTCGTTGTTGTTGTTCAAGAGCTTCCTTTTCTCGAGTTTCCCTCTTTGATGTTCTATGAGCTCTCTTTTCTTGCCTTCTTGCTTCTCTGACTGGGTCAGTAGGGGTTCCTCATCAAGTTCTCCAGCTTTGTATTTTCTCTTGTTGGACTTACTCATGGGGGGTTCTCCCCAAAGATCATCAATTGATTGAGTGGAGGGTGCCTGATTTAGCATTTGCATTAAATATTCGGATAATATCGGAGTGGGTACCTATACTGGCTTTTCAGCCAGTTTAGCAATCAGAGTTCTCATCTCGACTAACTGTGATTTGAAATCTTCAGTATCTACTGACCCGACAGCCTAGAATCGATCTTGGATAAGGTTCTCTAAACCATCCAATCTGTCTTTTAAGACAACCAGCTATTTCCGCACCTCATCTTTGATCTCTTTTTTCGCAGCTAACACCGTCGTCTCTATCAGCTAAGGCATCCGGGAGCACAATCTAGTCTACCAATGTCCTGGTCTGGCACTGATCTGCAACCAATTTATCAAGAAAGAGCATTGGGATAGTGACAAAGGTACCTGGAGCCTAGGAGGCTGAAGCTGGAGGTGGTGGTGCCTCTGTGGAAGGTTGTGATGACTCTCCCTGTTCTGGACCTCTATTTGCATGTGGGATATCAATTGGGACATGAGGAACAACAACTAAAGTAATCACAGCGGCAGACTTTGCGCCAAAAAGATGGTTCGCGACATCCTTGATTTTAGAAACTTGGATGAGTCTGAATGCCTCACCCCATCTGTCAACCAGGATGTTCGGAGGAATATTCGCTCCTCAACATAATTTCCCTATCTGACAGGGAAAAGGAAGTGCGACTCTCTCATTTAGCTCCCTGTCTCTCATCTCGATCGCTATTATCGTCCCGCATTGACCGGGTAACCAACCATAAGACAGGCTACCAACGGGGCCAGGGAAGGTGAAAAAGTTTTATCATTAGATGTCGGTCGCAGTTGTGCTCGGACGACAGTCCACCAAACCTTGGCTGGAAAAGACAGCGAAGCTTTAGAGATGAGTGTTGGAGTTGTGGTGACCTAAACTGCATTTTCCCCGTCTATGGCAATCTTCTTCGCAATCCAGCGTAAAACCCTCTCTCGAGAATTCTGATCTTCTATCATAGCATCACTGGTGACCTCATGATGTTTGCCCTCGAAAAGGCCAACTGAAGATGGTGCAGAGTATTTCGGGCCGTACAATATTCTGTTAATTGAAGCCTCAAAAATATCTATTGATTTGCCTCTAACTATGATTGAGTTGAGTGGACCCCAGGTAATAGCCATGTCTTTCTGTCCACGTTTCATAGTCTGTGTATCTGCAGAAAAATTCATCAATGTAGATGCATAAGAGGAACAAAATTCTCTGGCCAGGTGGCTAGAATATTCTCCAGGTGCATTGTCCATCCAGTCGAACTGATGGAGCTGAAATATCCGATAGATGTCCGAGAATACTTTGATATCAGCTACTACCACCCTAGTCTCAGGCATGATTGCTCGATTCTTGAAGCCTCCAGTCTTGTTCACAATCCCATTGTTGAAAAAATCTTTGGACTAGTTCACAGTCCACATAGAACGGTAATAGGCAATCAACTATGGTCTCAGTGTCGGATTAGGTTCATGGGCAGTCACATACATCACCATGGTATCATCATCGGTAATCTCTTCATCATCCTCTATCATAACCGCTTTCTCTCGTGCTCCAGTATCAGCTTCTGTATTAGCTGCAGGTGGAGAGGTGTGTGCATCATCCTGAGAACTACTTTTAGACTCTGAACTGCCCCCTGAGGTATCAGCAGATTGGCTACCAGCAGCAGCATCAAATTGACTTTCCGAGTCCTCCCCGTTATCAGAACTACCACCACCCTCTTCAGAATGAGAAGGAGTATCCTGGAGGATAGCTCTTTTGGTCAATGATCTAGTGGCTCGAGGTGAGTGATTTTTAGGTGTAACATTTATTTGCACCTCGGAACCACTAGCTTCGGAGTCGTCATGACCTTCTGATTGAGAAACAGTAGGGGGGGAGGGGGCAGGTTTTGTTGCATTCTTTCTTTTGGGACCCATTGTACCTGAGAAAATACAAAAAATATTAGTATTCAACACAGTCAAATGACGCACTATCGGGTACTCAGACTTCCCCTGTGTAAATTCATTGCGACACCTTGCTTTAAGAATTCCGTCACTCAATCTATCATCGAGAAGGACCACGGAAACAAAAGGCGAACAAAAACTAAAAGACGTAAAAATTTAAAAATGATACACCAAGTAAGATCTACGGGAGCTTATACGGGCCGTGGTAAGTACCACGGACCGTGAACTCCCTCGTGGAGTTGAGACAGAAAGTGTGCAAAAATGAGCCACATAACTTTTTACCAAGTGTTATTCACGGAAGGCTTCACGGCCTATGGAGTTCACCACGGTTCGTGATACTGCCCGTGAACTGAGTTTGAGGGATGAGTTGACTCCAAGTGTGGTCCACGATCGGTTTTACGGCCTGTGGTGGTTTCCACGGTCCGTAAGACCTATCGTGGTCTTACACTTCGTCATGTTCTATTATTTTCTTCCCTCATACAATAAAATACGATTCTGACAGCCCAAATAACCATTTCTAGCACAGATTCAAAATTAACACACATTTAAACATAACCCAGTTTACTAAACACATTGAATCCTCACCAACTAGAACAATCACGAATTCAACTCTCTATTATCCTACCCACATACAAACATCAATTCAAAAACACCCAATTCACTTAACCCACAACCGTTCAATAACAAATATCTCAGTCCAACACCTACACCTACTCAAATAGCCTCAATGAAAGTAGTTAGGACTAACTTCTATCAAGGAATTTCAGTTATGGAAACTTAAACAACGAACTTACTTGCACTGTAGAAACAAACACTTGTTGCCCAAAAATGAGAGAGCAACAACCTAGAATCACGATTCTTGAGGAATTTGGAATTAGGGCGTAGATTCTGTGATGAACTTGGAATCGATTGATGATGGAATTGATTTTAATCTTTAAAGGACCATTATGGGAGAGAAAAAAGAAGGAAAAACTGACCCTTTGGCATTTGGAATCAAATAAATACGTTTTAATTTTGAGTTGGGTTACGCGCGGGTTGGGTCGGGTAACTGATGTTATTGGGTAGTAGATTACGGGCCGTGAAATTACCCGTGAAGGGTATCACGATCCGTTAACCAGTCCGTGACAATGACTTGGCAAAGAAACTTACCTAAGGGAGATCACAGACCATGAAGTTGCCCGTGAAGGGCATCACGGTCCATTAAATTTTCCGTGATGTTGACTTGGAACTAAAATTTGTACCTGAGGTTCACGAGAGGCTAGACGGTCCATACAAGTTCTGACGGACCGTGAACCCTTCTGTGAACCCTTTTCGTGCAATTTACAGTAGCTTCCTTATGTTGGTCCTCAAGTTGACAGACCGTGAAATTGCCCGTGAAGGCACCACGGTCCGTGATACTATCCATGAAGGTCAGTCTGCACCAATTTCTGCATTTTTTTTACCTATTTTCTTCTGCACACATCAACACATAGTGACTCTATAAAAATAAAGAAAAATAAGGAAAAAGGGAAAAAATACCTAGTACAATTACATCTTGGGTTTCCTCCCAAGCAACACACAATTTAACGTCGCGGCACGACGCAGGTTTCTTGATTACTCAGACTTCATCAAGTTTGCATTCCTCTACAATCTTCACATCCTCAAGAACACCCAAATATACCTTGATTTTCTGGCCATTAGCTTTGAACCTCTCGCCTTTATCATTTTCCATCTCAATAGCACCAGATTGAAACACCTGTGTGACCTTAAAAGGTTCGAACCATTTGGATATCAACTTGCCTGGAAACAGACGAAGTCTGGAGTCGAAGAGTAAAACCAAGTCACTAGGAGTGAAGCTTCTTTTCTCAATATTCTTGTCATGATATAGCTTCATCCTCTCCTTATACAGTGCCGACCTCTCATAGGCTCTCAGACAGAACTCATCCATCACATTGATCTGATCCAACCTCAAGTTTGCAGTTTTGCTCCAATTGAGGTTTAGCTTCTTCAACGCCCAGACTGCTCTATGCTCAAGCTCAACCGGTAAATGACATGCCTTTCCAAACACCAATTGATATGAAGACATACCAATAGGTGTCTTGAAAGCTGTCTGATATTCCCATATAGCATCATCTAGCTTTCGTGCCCAATCTGTCCTGTTGGCATTCACTGTCTTTACCAAGATTGCCTTGATTTCCCTGTTGGATACCTCTACTTGTCCATTGGTCTATGGGTGATAAGGTGTAGCAACCTTGTTCTGTTAAACTCCATACTTGGTCAAAAGCGCACTGAAAACCTTGTTGCAGAAGTGGGAACCACCATCACTGATAATAGCTCTGGGTGTGCCAAACTTTGAGAATATATTCTTCTTCAGAAAACTAGCTACACTCTTGCCATCATTCAGAGGCAAAGCAATGGCCTCAAACCATATGGATACATAGTCCACTGCAACCAATATATACTTCTGCCCATAAGAACTCACGAATGGGCCCATGAAATCGATACCCCATACATCAAACAATTCCACTTCCATAATAGGTGTATGAGTAACTAATGGCGCCGTGAGATGGCTCCTTGCCGCTGGCACACATCACAGCTCCTTACTATGTCCACTGCATCTTGATGAATTGTGGGCCAGTAGTACCCACTCTGAAGTATCTTGTGGGCTGTTCGAGCACCTCCATGATGACCACCTACTGGAGATGAGTGACAGGCCTCCAAAATGTACAGCATCTCAGCTTCAGGAATGCACCGCCTGATGATGTTGTCAGCGCAAATCCTGTACAAATATGGTTCGTCCCAGAAATACTTACCTACATCATGCATGAACCTCTTTCTTTGCTGAAATATTAGTCCTTCAGACATTACATCACTAACAAGAAAATTAGCATAATCAGAAAACCAAGGAATAAGGTCAAGAGTTGCAGCTAATACCTGTTCATCCGGTAATGTATCATCTATTTCAAGCTCAAGCTCTTCCGTCTTTGCAGTCTCCTACCTAGACAGGTGATCAACTACCTGGTTCTCACAGCCTCTTTTATCCTTCAGTTCAAAGTCAAACTCTTAGAGAAGTAGCACCCATCGGATCAGCCTAGGCTTGGCATCTTTCTTTGCCATGTGGTATCTCAGGGCAGCATGGTCTGTATGAATTATCACCTTAATGCCCAGCAGGTAATCTCGGAACTTTTCAAACGCATAGACCACCGCCAATAGTTCCTGCTCAGTGACTGTGTAGTTTTGCTGTGCCGCATTCAGTGACTTACTAGAATAGTAAATTGGATGAAACATCTTGTTGCGCTTCTTCCCCAACACAACTCCTAATGCAGTCCCACTAGCATCGCACATTTCCTCAAATGGCTCCGTCCAGTCTGGGGCAATGATCACTGGTGCTGAAATCAACTTTTCCTTTAGGTACTCAAATGCTTTGAGACATGCCTCATCAAAGACAAATTTCATCTCCTTCTCCCAAAGCTTGCACATGGAGTGTGCAATTTTGGAGAAGTCCTTGATGAAACACCTATAGAACCCGGCGTGGCCTAGAAAGCTTCTAACACCCTTCACATAGATTGGCGGAGGTAACTTTTCAATCACCTTAATCTTGGCCTTATTGAACTTTATCCCCTTATGTGATACTTTGTGTCCCGGGACTATGCCCTCCTTCACCATGAAATGACACTTCTCCCAATTCAGTACTAGGTTGGCCACCTCACATCTCTGTAAAGCCCTACTAAGATTCAACAAACAGTCATCAAAAGTATCACCTACTATAGAGAAATCGTCCATAAATACCTCTAGAGTGTCCTCAACCATGTCTGAGAAAAAAACATCATACATCTTTGGAATGTCGCTGGTGCATTACATAGTCCAAATGGCATGCGTTTAAATGCAAAGGTGCCATAAAGACATGTGAATGTGGTCTTTTCCTGATCTTCAGGAGCAATTGATATTTGGTTGTAGCCAGAATATCCATCTAAGAAACAATACCACCCTTTACTTGCCAACCTATCAAGCATCTGGTCCATGAAAGGCAAGGGGAATTTATCCCTCAAAGTCCACTTGTTTAGCTTCTTATAGTCCATACAGACTCGTCATCCAGTGATTGGTCTCTGTGGGACTAACTCATTCTTGGCATTTGCCACCACAGTCATACCACCCTTTTTGGGCACACATTGCACTGGACTGACCCAGTGACTATCAGAAATGGGATAGACCACCCCAATATCTAACCACTTTATTATCTTTTTCTTAACCACCTCTTGCATAGGTGGGTTTAGCCTCCGCTGGTGTTCAATGATTGGGCTGCAGTCCTCCTCAAGCTGAATCTTGTAGGTGCATATACTAGGAGGTATTCTAATTGTATCAACAATAGTCTACCCAATTGCCCGTTTGTACCTTATCAACACCTTGATCACCTCCTGAAGCTTCTCTTCATTTAAATCTGCAGCCAAGATCACAGGTAAAGTGTTATTAGTACCCAAAAATACATACCTGAGGTGACTGGGTAACTGTTTTAGTTCCAGCACAGGTGGCTCCTCGATGGATAATTTTGCTAGAGGGCTTGGCCTGTTTTTCAAGTCCAGGTCCAATTTCTTTGGAGCATACGAGTGTGCTGCCATACCCTGCTAAGCATTCACGGTCTCTATATAGTCAGATCAGAATTCAACATCAAAGTTCATCAGCACTGCAACTAAGGTTTCAACAGTCATCCTCTCTTCTATGGGTACCCTCATGTCCTCATCAACAACCAGTTCTATTGTAGATACCACATTCATATCATTGGGTTGCCTCATTGAACTGCAAATATTGAACTTTACCTCATCCTTGTTGAGTCTGAACTTCAACTCTCCTCTTTCAACATCCACCAAAGCTCTTCCTGTGGCAAAAAAGGGTCTTCCCAAAATGATGGTAACCTCAAAGTCCACTTCGCAATCCAAGATCACGAAATCAGCTGGAAAGATGAAGGTGTCCACCTTTACAAGTACATCACATAGGACTCCCACTGGCCGCTTAGCTGACCTATCATCCATCATCAACCTCATTGTTGTGGGTCTTGGAAATCCCAACCCCAATTTTTTGTAGATGACTAATGGCATCAAGTTGATACTGGTTCCTAGATCACACAAAGCTTTTGCTAACTTAATTGACCCAATGGTGCATGAGATAGTGAATGCACCTAGATCTTTCTTCTTCTAAACCAGAGATCTTGTAGCAATGGCGCTGCAATGATAAACATCGTTAGTAAAATTAAGACTTACAACTCTTTTCTTTGTAATCAAGTCCTTCATGAACTTGGCATATCCTGGCATATGTTCCAGGGCTTCCACCAGTGGTATGTTTACTGAAAGTTGCTTCAACATGGTGATGAACTTTGTAAACTTCCCATCTTTAGCTTTCTTTTTTATCCTTGAGGGAAATGAGGAAGTGGTCTGGAAATTTGCTGTAAAGGCAGGTTTTCCTCGACCACTTTCTCTTTTCCTCTTGCAGGTTGTGCTTTAAGCTGAGGATCCTCCAAATCATCTACCTATTCAGCTTCATCCTCCTCTCTGCCAGCTTGCTCCAAGACTTATTCATGTTTGGTACCTGCAGAAATAGGGTCAGTAAGAACTTTACCACTCCTGGTAGCGATGGCCATACAATGCCCGTCCTTCTTAGGGTTTTGAATAGTGTCACTTGGTAGTTACCCATTTTTCCTCTGATTTAATGAGGCTGAGAGTTTCCCCAACTGCTGCTTAATTTGTTTAATAGAGGTGGTGTGAGAGTCCACCAACTGACTCATGCTCGAGAAATCACCTCTCATTTATTTTACCTCTGCATCAGTTGATTTAACTTTCTGGAGTACCTTACCCATCATGTCTTCCAGCTTAGACCCGCTGAAACTACCACTTGCCCGGTCTCTATTACATTGGGGCACATAAACACCACTGCAATAATTCCTATACCCATCTCTGTTCTGCCAGTTTCCCTCATCTCTATTTGCTGGCCTATCATACTGACCATCCCTAGCATAGTTCCGACCTGCGTTTCCAGAATTGTAACCCTAATTTCCAGAGTTATAATTCTAGAAATCTACTTGGTTACCTAAGTAGTTAGCTTCCTCATCAAGGTCAATATCTTGATCCTCATACCTGTTTTGTTGTCCCACAACATTTACCTTTTCAGACTTGGTGACAATGTGCTTGGTGAACAGATCTATTTGTGTCCTCATGTGCGCCATATCTTGGTCCCTTTCATCCTCTCTCTTCCTCTGTTTAGTTGAAAGATCAAATGTATACCCAAGCTCTCCTACCTGAGCATCTCTTGTGTACCATTCCCTGTTATTCTTTGATACCTCATCCAACAGTTGCATGCTTTTCGAGAATGACTTCCTCATAAATGAGCTTCCACAAACTGCATCAACAACAGGTTTAGTAACATAATTTTGAGATCTGTAAAAAGCCTGTTTCAGATGCCTTTCAGTAAGATCATGTTTGGGGAATTTCTTCAGCTTTTGGCTGAACCTCAACCAAGTATCATGCATTGCATCTCCTGGTAGCTGCTTGTGTGTACTAATCTCGTCCTTCATCTGCAACTCTTTTGATTCTGGAAAGAATCGTTCTAGGAAAGCCTCCTTCAGCTCTATCCAAGTTCTGATGGAGTCATCTGGCATCCCATTCAACGACTTTGTTGCCTCTCCAGTAAGAGACAATAGGAACAACCTCAATCTCATCACAGTTTGATTAACTCCACGAATTTCTTGTGACTTGCAGATTGCCACAAAATTCATCAAGTGCTGATTTGCATCATCACCAGCTGCACCCCTAAACATATCTTTCAGGTTTAACAAATGTATCATAGTGCTAGTGATGGTGAACTTAACACCTGGAGGTAGTGCAGGTAACACTATAGCTCCAGTGGCTCCAGCTCCATCCAAGCCAGCATCAACTTCTTCATACATCATATGAGCTAGATGCTAAGCTCTACCCCTTGGGGTTATTGGTTGGCGCTGGGGAGGGACTAATCATTCCAACCCTCTGTTATCATCTACTGCCCTAGGTTGATTGATTCAAGCATTTTGCTGGTCATTTCTTGCAACATCAATTTCAGCTTCTAATCCCAATCTGTGCCTCTAAGCCTCTAGTTCTTGTGCATTAACCATCTTTCGAATAGTTCGCTGAAATTCAGGATCATAAGGTAGAAATGGGGCTCCTTTACTTCTAGTGTTGGGCATGCACAATCGAACTCACCTGAAGAAGACACAAACACATAACAAAATGTAAAATTAGGAAATATAACTACAAATTGATTAAAAGCTAGTAAAACACTTCTGATATGAAATTTCCAGGCAACGGCGCCAAAATTTGATACGCCCAAACTTACACTTCAAATACGAAGTGTAAACGGTCGATGTCAATTTACAGAACTCAACTAGAGTTGAGGTCGATCCCATAGATAATTTCTTTACAAATAAGGTTTCACTATCGCATTTATTCGAATGTTGTTATTATCTCCCAAACAAATTACAGCGGAAAGTAAATTGGGTTTGGTGGAAAAGTT